AACACATGAACTATGAACCAAAGGCTGAGGGGCCCCCAACTGGATCAGGCCCTCTGAATAGGTGAGACAGTTGATTGGCTTGATCTGTTTGGGAGGCATCCAGGCAGTGATACCAGGTGCTGGGCTCATTGCATGAGTTAGCTGTTGGAAACCTGGGACTTATGCAGGGACGCTTGGCTCAGTCTGGGAGGAGGGGACTGGACCTGCCTGGACTGAGTCTATCAGGTCGATCCCAGTCCTCGGGGGAGACCTTGATCTGGAGGAGGTGAGAATGGGGGGTGGGCTGGGGGGAAGGGGAGGAGGGCAGGAAGGGAGAGAACAAGGGAATCTGTGGCTGTTATGTAGAACTGAATAGTATTGTAAAATAAAATAAAATAATAATAATTAAAAACAAACAAACAAAAAAAAAACGACATGTGCTGTACACCTGCAATTCCAGCAATTAGGAGGTAGAGGCTGGAGGATCAGGAACTCAACTCCAGCCTCAGCTATGTAAGAGACTAGACCACCCTGGGCTTCACCAGCTCCTATTTCTAAAACAAACAAATCAACAACAGAACAGCTCTCGCTGGGAGAACAAGAGATTAGAAAGAACTGATCTAGGTAAGTCTGCTCACTTTTTTCTAATATGTTAGTCTTCAGACTCCAATTTTATTAAACCAGTGCTCAAGGACAAGCCCAAAGCTAGTCCCACTCTGAAGACAGCCTCAGTCATCTAGGCTTTTTTGTCTGATTTGATCTCTTTGATTTTTCCTAAGCTTTCGATAAAAGAAAATGAAATAAAGAAAGAAAAGAATACAGCCAGGTGTGGTGGCACACACCTTTAATCCCAGCACTCTCAAGGCAGAGGCAAGCAGATCTCTGTGAGTTCGAGACTAGCCTGGTCTACAAAGCAAGTTCCAGGACAGCCAAGGGTATGCAGAGAAAGAAAAAAAAAAACCCACAAAAAATTAGTTAAATTAAAAAATAAAGGAATTCAATGTGAGGAGATTATAAATGAGAAGTTCACTATATATTTTTGCTCCACACTAAATAAGTAAGATGGTTTGATAAAAGAATGTGGATTTCGCAAAGATTCTAAGACTCAAAAGTAGTCCTTGTAGAGGACAAGTTTGAGTCAACAGAGTAAAAGACCTGGGGTCAGAGCCACAGCTAGCAAGAGAAAAGCAGCATTTGCCTAGAATTGCCTATACGGTTTACCTGAAGAAGATTGAAAAATCAATGGAAACCAAGCCCAGTGGCTCCTGAGATCCACACACTGGACCTGTTAACAAATGCAGCTCCTCATTTTATTTAATAACTAAAGCAAAGTTTTCATTTTATAAATATTACATAAAATGAAAACTTTTTTTATTACATTTTATTTACTTACTGGGAAAGGCACATGTGGAGATCAGAGAAAATCTACAGAAGTTGGTTCTCTCCTTCTGCCCAGTGCATTGGAGGGAGCAGGCTCAGGCAGTCAGACTTGGCAGTAAGTACCTTTACTCACTGGGCCATCCTTCTAGCCACCGTGAAATGAAAGTCTTATCATTTACTGTAATCCTACATTCATTTTTAAAGTTAACTTAAAAACATCACCATTAATACATGAATGTGTTTATCGCATTAAGAATTACTGAAACACACTTGCAAAGTATGACAGCAAGAACATTTGTGATATTGTGCAAACAACTTGAAGTCTAAGAAACAGTATAAACCTTGCCATCTAGCACAGTAAGTGACACATTAACGACAGGAAAATGACCTAGGTGGCAGGACTTTCTCCTCTTGCTTCTACCACTCTCATTCCGCCCCTCGGCGCTGGAATATTCATTTGTAATTATTGTATGTCTCTTCATTGCTAAAAATACACCAAAGTTTACCAATATTTAACTACTGTAAAGTGTAAATAAAAGCATGCTACAGAATAACTTACTATTCAATAAATGATAGCCTACAGGCCAGTCCTGACTGAGCCCTGAACCTGTAGCTCTCAGACAAGTTACTATCTGGAATTCTACAAAACGAGCTGGCTAGTAATGAATGCTCTACTGCTTCCTTTCCATTCTAAAATATCCTTTCCAAAGATGCTGTTCTCAAATATGCTGTTGAGGGAATATCCCTCATACATACATTAAAATGTAAATACTGCCCTATTTTCCAGGCTACTGAATGCTGCAGAATACACACCAAACACACTATTGGGAACATCAACTGAAAGAAAACACTCTAGCAAAGGGAAGGTCCGGGATAAGGAAGAGATTTGCTCTATTCCTAGTAGTGCTAACAACTTCAGAATAGTCTATTAGCTAATCTTGCAGTAGAGAAAGATCTCCTGGAGATTTTCTCTATCCTCCCCATAAACTAAAATGTAAAAACAGATACAACCACCCCCGGGGGGGGGGGGGGGGAGGGGGGGAGGGGACGGGGACGACACGGGACGACCAACAACTATAGTCAGGGGCTGGAGACATAGCTTAGCAGTAAAGAGCACGGATTGCTCTTCGAGAGGAATTTCCAGTACCCATATGGCAGCTCAAAACTGTAACTCTAGTTCCTGAGGATCCCTCACACAGACATATAAACACCAATGCACATAAAATAAAAATAAATACATTTTTAAAAATTAAAAAAATCAACTATAGACACCCGGCTCTGTGTGAACTTCCCTTCACCTATGGTTCGGTGACAAAAGGCACTGGCTTTTAGACAGGCCACACTTAGAATTCTGCCCTCCGGCCAGCTACAATGACTGCACATGCGCAGCTCAGGAGTTAAGCAAAGGGTGTCTTGCATCTTACGTCATCAGTGCGCTGGCGTGGTCACGTAAGCAGCGTATGCGTGGTATAGCTCCATAAGCCCGCTTCACCAGGAGCCCCGAAAACGCCGGATGCAGACCCCACCCTCTCTCTGCTCTGCTCTCCCCCCACCTCACTGTCATCCCCTCTGCTCTCCGCACATGCTCCCCCACCCCTTCCTCCTAATAAAGCTCTCCACTACTAAGCAACCAGGTTCTGTCATGACCACGACCTTTCTGCCGGTAACCAGCACCATTTTTCATTCATTTCACACTCATAAAAAGCCTCAAACTCGATTTTGTTCCAGTTTCTAAAACAATGTTCTGTAGGACAGAATAGTAAACGGAAATTAGCTTAAACTGCTGTGGTGGTCTGGATGAGAAGGCTCCCCCAGGCTCCCACCTGAGTATTTGTTTCCCAGTTGGTAGACGTTTATGAAGGATTAAGAGGTATGACCTTGTTGGAGAAGGTGTGTCACTGGGGGATGGGCTTTGAGGTTTTAATAGCTCAAGCCAGTCCCTGTGTCTGTCTCCTGCCTGCCACCATGTGTTTTATATGTTGCCTTGGTGATGGTGTCTCTTCACAACAACAGAAAGTAAGTAAGGCAAACATGCACTAATGTTCTCACATAATTGCATACTAAGTTGTGATTACTTCGTATCACAATAGATTTTATACCAGCTAGCATGCATTTTAGCACCTCCTAACTTGATGGACCCAGTGCTAAGCACTTACAGGGCATCACAAAGAAGATAGTTGTAGGTAATTTACAGGTTTAAAAGAAACTATTTTTAGAACTGGAAAATACCTAGTTAATTTTACTTGGTCCAAGTGAAATCCTTGTCCAAAGAAAAAGGGGGAATGTATGTGTGTGGGGTGGGGTGGAGGGTAGACCCAGAATCTTAGGTATTTCATTAACTGATTTTTAAGTAGAATAAAAAAGCAGAAATTGAAATTTAAAGTTAAAAATTCACATCAGGAAGTTACTCCCAAACAGTTTCACTGTAGTCTTACCTTTTTACCTGAAACCTACAGTAAAATTAAGAGGAAAAACACAAGTCTATCTAAAATGTACAATTAAAAGCTATTAAAAAAAGATCCCCAAAAAACAAAAACTCAAAACCTCTTACCTGAGCATGAAAATTGGACATAGTCGTTGTCTCTATATCTTTCTTTCCCAATATCTCCATTTTCACTGGTGAATTGGGAAAATTATATGAAAAGTAGTCTAGAAAGTCAGGTAAGTAAGTAGCTGCCCCATGAACAATACCCATTACATAGAAAGCCGCAGAACTTTCGTTTTCACTGAACACTAAACCCACAAATTCTTCGGCAAATCTCTGCATCTCCACAGGAGACAGGCAGGAGAGCTCGTCACTGTAGGCGTGGATGACCGACGCACCTCCATTAGGCTGGTGTTCAATATGAAGGAGCTGCTTGAACTCCAAAGTGTCCAACCTTTTAAGGTTCTTCTGAACTCGTGGTTCCTTTAATGAGACAAATGGCAATTCACTGTCATCAGGAATTTTAGAATCACGGTTCTTGGAATCCAAATGCTTTCCAATGTAATCCTTTATGTTATCATTTAAGATGCCTCTGGCTTCCCGATCTTCAGCATCAGACAGCAATCCTGAACAGATGGTCTGAATAGACTTGCTATACATTTTTGGACGCTTTCGTTTTTCATTCTCTTTGTGTTTCTTTTTCTTTTTCTTCTTTACTTTTTTAATTTGTAAGTCTTCTACACTTGTTTTTGGTTTCTCCTTCCCACCTGTTGGGAAAAATTTTTTTTGAAACTCCATATTTTTAATTACTTAAAAAAAAACATGCTTTTAGGAATTGTTTTGTAATAAATAAATTTACTTCTGACAATTCTGAAAAACCACTGAGAATTCGTTTTCTATTCAAATTTTATTTTGTCTTTCCTTCTCTCTCATCCGTTCTCTGCTTTTACATACACACAGAGACACCAGGCTCAAGACTGCCAATGAGACACAGCCGGTGCTAGTGCTCACCCAAGTAATGAGTGAGTCAAGTTTCAGAAAGTGTAGTCTTCAAATGTAAAAAGCATAAGCTCAGAATAAATGTGAGCAATACCCTTCAGATAGTTCTCATGGATATATTATGAAGTTTATTTTATCTGAAGTTTTAAAAAATCAAATCCAGCCAACCAGCGGTGGTACATGCCTTTAATTCTAATACTCAGGAGGCAGATGCAAGCTGATCTCTGTGAGTTCAAGGCTCCCCTGTCTACAAAGAGAGTTCCAGGACAGCCAGAGCTGTTACACAGAGAAACCTTGTCTCAAAAAAAAAAAAAAAGAAGAAGAAGAAAAAGAAAGAAGAAAGAAAAAATCATATCCAGAGGCCAAGGAGACTCATAAATCACAAAGTCAGAAGCATTCGCATAGTATGACACCAGTGTCAGAGCAGAGCACAGCACAGCAGTCCCTCAGCTTCTCCCTTCCTCCTCAGTGAGCTACCGAGTTCTAGTCAAGACCCAGCAGGTACCCTACAGGAGATGACAAATCAGAATCCTCTCTCCTACACTGCGTTCCAGTGATGCCCAGGTGCTAGGTAAAGGAAAAACAAGAGAAGGACATGAGAGGAGAAGGGCAATGTAGCTTAGACACTCAAGAATTTCTGTCAATGAAGGTAGCAGATTCTGGGTCATAATCCCAGAAATTCCAGGAATAAAAGACTAACCTAACGCACACAGGCTGCTTAATTAGAAAACTTATTATGTATGTACACAAAAGCACACGCATCATTTACATACACACAATAAATATTTTTCTATTTTTCTTATATAGAAATAAGCAGACTATGAAAATGCATATGTGTTACAAAAGTTTCCAAAGATAAATATAAAAAGGACAACAAAGTAACAATTCAGAAAAGAAGACATTGTTTCCGCTCCTTTCTTTCTGTTTTTGTTTGGAAGGGGGATTGTTTTGTTGAGTAAATCTGTGTACCACACCCATGCCCGGTACCTTTGGAAACCAGAAAGGGAGGTGAGATCCCCTAGAAACAGAGTTGGAGAGAGGTGTGAGCCTCCATGTGCAGTGCTAGGCATTAAACCCAGGTCCTCGGAAAAGAGTAGCCAGCACTCTTGACCGTGATTCTTCTTGCTAGACCCCTTTTTGAGGAGCTCTGTTGTTCTGACTTTTAAGGCAAGATGACATTGGACTCCTGATGACCCTCTGAGTCGGCCTGCAGGGACTACAGTGCTGGGGTTACAGGCCTGGGCCATCACACTCCACTTTGCTGCTGTTCTTACGACAGGCCATAAAGAAAAGTATCCCAACCTGCCTATGTGGGGGGAGGAGGTATGCATTTTTTGAGATGAGTCTCAAACATGGTACACAGCTGAGGATAACCCTGAACTTGATCCTCCTCCCTCCTTTCCCACATCCTGAGATTATAGGCATGCCCTCCACACCCAGTATTATGCAGTGCTGAGGACAAAATCCAGGGCTTCAGCATAGCAGGGTGCACTTCATCAACTGAGCCACATCCCCAACTCTTTTTTTTTTTTCTTTTTGGTTTTTCGAGACAGGGTTTCTCTGTGTAGCTTTGCGCCTTTGCTGGAACTAGCTTTGGAGACAAGGTTGGCCTTGAACTCACAGAGATCCACCTGCCTCTGCCTCCCGAGTGCTGGGATTAAAGGCGTGCGCCACCACCACCCGGCCCCAACTCTTAAAATGCTTCTTTTACATGAAATTTTCCATGTTCACATGTCTCTCATTTTTTTAGTTTTTATGACTAAGATGTTCTACCTATTTTCAAAACTAAACCACTCTGGCCAGTTCCCAAAAGATTTGAATCTCCAAAAGAACCACCTCCACCTAGTGTTTTTCCTTCATTCAACATTCTTTCACTTTTTAGTGTGTGTGTGTGTACACAAGCTGCTACGTGCACAGCACAACATGTGTGCTGCAATCAGGACAACCTTCAGGAGTGGGTTCTTTCTTTCCATGTAGGTTCCAGGGATCAAGGGGTCAAATTTCAGTCATCTAAGTCAGTGATTCTCAACCTGTAGGTCACGTCCCATAAGCTATCCTACATATTAGATATTTTCTATTCATAGCAGTAGCAAAACTACAATTATGAAGTAGCAGTGAAATAATTTTATGGTCGGGGGTCACCACAACATGAGGAACTGTATCAAACAGTCAAAGCATTAGGAAGCCTGAGAAAACAAATTCTGTCTAGGTATGTACTTCCAAAACATCCGATCAGGTGAACACCTTAAAAACAAAAACTAGGGACTGAGCATGTTACTCAGGTGGTGCAATACTCGTCTGGAACGTAAGAAGCACCTGGGTCCAATTCCAGCACTACATAAACTAAGTATGGCAGCATACAACTACAGACCTGACCTCAGAGGTATGGCTACATATTAAGTTTTAGATTAACCTGGGATACATGAGATACTGTCTCAAAAATTAATAAATTACTCAAAAAAAGATAAAAAATAAAGAGTAAAACAGTGGAGTAACGAAATGAAAGAGCAAAGAAGTCTTAAGCAAAATCCAATAAAATAAGAAAAAAGTATCAATAAGATTAAAAATATAGCCCGGCGGTGGTGGCGCACGCCTTTAATCCCAGCACTCGGGAGGCAGAGCCAGGCGGATCTCTGTGAGTTCGAGGCCAGCCTGGGCTACCAAGTGAGTTCCAGGAAAGGCGCAAAGCTACACAGAGAAACCCTGTCTCGAAAAACCAAAAAAAAAAAAAAAAAAAAAGATTAAAAATATAATTTAAAGGGTATATAGGTTGCTTGTTTGTGTTTTGGTTTTTTTGACACAGGTTTCTCTGTATAGCCTTGGCTGTCCTGGAACTCAGGGATCCACCTACCTCTGCCTCCTGAGTGTGTGAATTAAAGGCTGTGCCATCACCGCCCAGTTTGGGCATAGGTGTTAATAGCAATCTCAAAGCCCATAATGGAAAATACATGTAAATTACACAAATTAAACCATTTTGAAATAAACAAAACCTCACTGCAATGAAAATGTTTAAAATCTAATTAAATTCACACTTAACATATTTTTGTATTGAAATAAAACAGCTGGGCCGTGGTGGCGCACACCTTTAATCTCAGCCCTTTAATCCCAGCACTTGGGAGGCAGAGCCAGGCCTCTGTGAGTTCGAGGCTAGCCTGGTCTATAGAGCGAGATCCAAGACAGGAACCAAAACTACACAGAGAAACCCTGTCTTGAAAAACAAACAAACGAATAAATAAATAAATACCCTGTAACCAATTACATTACTTTGAAATAAAATAGACAACATTTAGTCTATTCCCTAGTGTTCAGGATGAACCAAAAAAATATTACAACAGTCAGCAACTTAAAAATGCAAACTAACAAGTCAAAGGAGACTCTTATGATGGACATCCAGGAGCTAAATGATCCTGGCAAATTACTTTGTAATTAACTATTACAGTGTGCAGAGGAGCTGATATGCCTAAGACTGCTTGTTAGGCTGGCCCTTGCCTGGGGTTTGGAAACTTGAGTTCTGAAGGGTCCCTATAGTGTGCTTCACTGTTCTCACCTGTACAGGTACTGTGATGTGTGCTGAGGACTTGTCTTCTATAGCTGAGTGCCGGTTTTCCTTCTGGAAGTCTAATGGCCTGCAGTAGGCAGACGGTGTCGATGTACCTACTCCCAATAAACCGAGTCACTAATGAGCTTTCCTGGTCCAAGACATTCTAGGCATGCTGTCACAACTTATTGAGTTAAGCATGATCCGACATAACTCCACTTAGAGAAGAGTCTGAGACACTTATGCTTCATTTCCCACAGATGTTACCCCATGCACATTTCCTTCTATGCCCATTTTCCTTTTACACTTTCATAATAATAAATCATATCACAGGACCAATGATTATGCTGGGCCCCTGCGAATCTTCCCACCTCTTTCTTCACAGAACCTGAATGCAGGCTTGGAAATCCCCAAAGAACAGAGGTAAAATGTATTCTTTACGTTAAACCAAACTAAGGAACTAGCTTGTATTGGAAAGATTTTAAGAACATTATATATTCTCTCTGTTTCTACATATACAATTCTTTGGTGCCTATATAGAAAATTTTTAAGTATTTTAAGGAGTTATCATTTTGATTATCAATACTCTTGTCTTACAGTAAAAATACTGAAAGTTCACATTACTCTAAATCTGTAACTCTAACAAACCCAATGATTCTGATATAATAAAAGCCTGAGATAAACTTGGAACAGAAAACAGAACTGCTGTCTCAGGAACGTGGACAACTCTCAAATTATGTATGACTCAAAGTAAAAGGATGCTGGAGTGCAGAACAGACAAGGACACACAGACTGGGGTGGGAGAGGACGCCACACATGGGGGTTGGGGGGTGGGGGTGAGAGGACTCCGCATACACAGACAAGGACACACATAGGAGGGGGACCACATGACACTCCGAATACACAGACAAGGACAAGGACAAGGGGACAGACACACACACCAAGCACCACACACACACACACACACACACACACACACACACACACACACACACACACACACGGCAGTGATGGGAAGGACTCCACATACACAGACAAGAACACACCCACGGGGCGGAAAGACTCCATATACGAAGACCTGGGGGTTGAAGCGGGAGTGCCTAACTGAAAGCAAAAGAAACAGGAACAGAAAAATGCAGATACACATTCAACAAGGGATAACGGACACCCACAGACAAGAGAAGAACTCATAGAAACAAGCACATTGGCAGCGGTACAGCAGAGAGGTGG